GGAATTTAAAAAAATATATATATATATATATATTTATATATTTTATTGATTTTTTACAGAGAGGAAGGGAGAGGGATAGAGAATTAAAAACATCGATGAGAGAGAATGACCAATCAGCTGCTTCTTGCACACCCCCTACTGGGGATGTGCCCGCAACCATGCCCTTGAGTGGAATCAATCCAGGGACACTCTATCCACTGAGCCAAACTGGTTTCAGCGGAGAGGAGGAATCTTAACGCCCTTTATAGCTAACCAGAGAATGCATAGCATAAATCACCCTGAACTGCTAAGGCAGCAGTTGGGAAGGAAGAATGAAAAAGGTGCAGTTTTTCATCTCATTGTTTAAACAGGGAGGCCAACAGTTTTGGGACTTGTCAAGATAAAATTACTGGGCCTGGCTGGTGTGGCTCAGTGGTTGAGCATTTATCTATGAACTAGAAGGTCACAGTTCAATTCCCAGGTTGTGGGCTCGATCCCCAGTGGAGGGCATGCAGGAGGCAGCCAATTAATGATTCTCTCCTCATTGATGTTTCTATCTCTCTCTTCCTCTCTGAAATCAATAAAAACATATTTTTAAAAAACTAATATCTTAGAAAAAAAAGATAAAATCACCTGGTACTTCTCATAAATTCTAGGAAAGCCATAACAAAATAAAAGGAGAGACCTTAAGAGTTAATCTGTCTCAAGATATCCAGCAGAGGAATTTTAAAACATATAGACAGAAAGTATAAAATACTGAATCCCCACCAGACAGACCATGCCTTTCAGGCTAGCCGAGAAGCCATGTGCACTCTACACCAGTTATAGTTTAAATAGACTTGTTTGCCTTGCTCCGTTTGAAAATAATTTTTTTTAATTTTATTTCCCTGGCCAGTTTGGCTCAGAAGGGTCCCAGGTTCGATTCCCATCAAGGGAATGTACCTCAGTTGCAAGCTCAATTCCAGCCCAGTTTGGGGTGCATATGGGAGGCAACCAATCTATGTGTCTCACATTGATGTTTCTTTCTCTCTGTCTCTCCACCTCTCTTCCACTCTCTCTAAAAAATAAATGGGAAAAATAACTTCAGGTGATGATTAACAAAAAATTAAATGAAATTATATATATTTATTGATTTGAGAGAGGAAAAAAGAGGGTGAGAAAAACATCTGTGTGAGAGCAGAACATCAATCACCTGCTGCCCAAAGCATCCCAACCAGGGATCAGAACCATAACCTGGGGGTGTGCTCTGACGAGGAATCGAACCAGCGAACTGACGGTGCAGGGGATGACATTCACCTGAAGAGCCACACTGGCCAGGCTTGCCTTGCTTCTTTAATTTACTTGCTTTGCTTTTTAATAACTTGGCTTTACTATAAAGCAATCATTCCAAATCCCTTGTTTGAATTCCTCCCTATGAGACTGAAAGAACTGAGGAACAGCCTTCTCCCTTAACTCAGGGGATGTCCTGTGACAACTTTTTTGGTGTTTTTGGGGTGCCTGTAATGAAGGGACTGAATAAAAAAGAGAAAACACTCATGGACACAAACATCACTATGGTGATTGCTGAGAGGGAGGCGGAGGAGGAGAATACAGGGGGGATAAATTGTGACGGACAAACCTGAGGTGGGGTGAACACACAATAGTGTACTATCATAGTACAGATGATGTGTTGTAGAATGGTGCACCCGAAACTGTATTTTTGTTTACCAGTATCACCTCAATAAATTCAATAAAAGGAAAAAAGTTTCTAATAGTAGAAAAAAAAAATAAAAACCAAAACGAAGGAAATTTGGATGAATTAAAAAATAAAAACTTATGAGAATATTTTCACTGAGAAATAGTTGACTGTGATACCACCTAGAATTAATGGCATTACTAACATCTGTATATGGCTTTCATATTTTTATATTTCACTCATTAGCTTAGTCAACAGGGGTCGGTTGGTTATTTGTACCTGGAAGAGTAAATGTGGTGGAGATATCATATAGACTTGTGCTGTCCCTTTGTCACTAGCTCCATGTGGATATTCAAACCACAATTAAAACTTTAGTTCTACAGTTTCACGAGCTACATCTTATCTCATTTATTATTATTACTAGAGGCCTGGTTCACGAATTCGTGCACACGTGGAGTTTCTCCGCCTGGCGATCAGGGCTGATTGGGGCCAGCAGGCCTAGGGGAGGAACAGCTGGAGATTGGCCGGCCATGGGAGGTTGGCTGTGGGAGCGCATTAACCACCAGGGGGCAGCTCCTGCATTGACAGTCTGCCCCGATGGTCAGTGTGTATCATAGCGACCAGTTGATCAGTCATTGGTCTACCAGTCCTAACCATCATTTATACTTTTATATATATATATATATATATATATATATATATATATATATATATATATATACACACACACACACACACACACACACACACACACACATTTTGATGCACCGTTCCTAGAGATACTGCAATACCAGGCCAATGTGTGGAATGGATAGAGCAAGCTCCTATTCCATCTCCTAACTCCAAAAATCCATTTAGTAACTGTCCTTGGATAGAGAATATATCAGATATTAAACTGTTAAGAACAGATACTAAACTTGATCTTAGGCAAGAGGCTGAGAAGAGATTACTAGCTACATTTTAAGTTCAAAATAGTGCAAATACTGAGATTCCCAACATTGCTGAAAGTTCTATTGAACAGTTAAGGAGATATTTTTAAAAAATTTTATTGATTTTAGAGAGGAAGGAACATCAATTTTGTTGTTTCACTTATTTGTGGACTGGCTTTCACTTCTTTGGTTGACTTTTTAAAAAGTGATTTTTTTTTTTTTATAGAGAAGGGAAAGGGAGAATTATAAATACTGATGAGCTGCCTCTTGCACACCCTCTACTGGGGGTGTGTCCACAACCAAAATACATGCCCTTGACTGGAATTGAACCCAGGACCCTTAAGTCTGCAGGCTGATGCTCTATCCATTGAGCCAAACCGGTTAGGGCTGGTTGACTCTAGTATGTGCCCTGACCAGGAACTGAACCCGTAACCTTGTATTGGGGCGGATTCGGGCCTGTGTACACAGAAGGTGGGTAAAATGCAATCATCAGTTTTACAACATTAAAGAACAAATAAACTGATCCCCATATGTACCTTACATGGTTTTTGTACAGCACCTCAATAATAAAAAGGAACATGACGACTGAAGCACTTATTATGCAGCAGGTCTGTTCACTGAGACACTCAGGGTACCTGGGATTTTAAAAATAAAATTTCTAATTTTGTGGGGGAAAAAATCTGTTTGCAATCACTTCTCAAGCATCATCTGGCACTGCTGATTAAAACAACTTTTTCTCGGTGGAGATGAAGAGGGGAGGGAGGAGGGAAAGGCCCTCGGTAACGCAGCCTTCCACAACCAGGGCGGGCGCTGGCCGGCTCTCAGGCCAACAGTTTTGGGACTTGTCAAGATAAAATTACTTGTCCGGTCTGGCCTTGGCCGCAACACCAGGACCCCTCGGCCTGGCCGGGCGGCACCTGCGAGCCATGACCAGGCTGCTTCGCTCAGGTCCCTTCCCGGCCGCACAGGCCCGGCCGCAAGCTCCTCCTCGCGGCGGCCATGGAGCGCCGAGTCCCCGAGTGGTTTCAGGCCGGCGCTCGCAGGTGCCAGCTTCCCGGGCGCCGGAGGAGAGTTTAGCCCTCGGAGCCGTTGGTTAGACCCGTAGGGCACCGCCGACTCCACCGTAGAGAGGACAAACACTGCTGGACGCGAGCACCCACCCAGCCAGCCGCGCCGGAAGCCCATCAGCCCACTTCCGGCGCGCTTCCAGCTTCCTGGGCGAGGCCGGAAGTGGCTTCCAAGCGCTCAGATCCGCAGGGCCGTAAAGCAAGATGGCAGCGCTCGCTCCGAAGTGCTCCGTCAGTCTTCATCCTATTTGTAGCGCTTCTCTACCTACCAGGACCTCTCTGTTTCCATCTTCTGCCCTGGTTTGTCTCAGTAAAGCTCTCTCATATTCCAATCTCATTCACCTGTGGCCGAGTACTGGCCGAAGGCTACGTGAGGCGACCTGAGCGCTGTGGACGCCATCTTGTACGGAAACTGCTGGCCGGTTGGGCGGGGCGAGCGGCCGGGAACCCAGAGCGGGCCGCCGGCCGGAGATCGTGGGAGGGAGAGAGGGCGGACTGGGGGGTGGCGGAGGGCGTTGCTGTCCGTCATGTATTTCCGCTTCCTCCCGGCCCGGTCCTATTAGGTTGGCGCGGCTTGTTGTGGGGAGGGCGGGGGAAGGTTGTTTGGAGCTTCGCGCACGGTGAGGTAAACTGAGGCAGAGCTGTGCGTGGGGGACCTCTGCGCCCGCCTGTGCCGGAGATCTGGGGACGGCCTCGGAGCGTTCGCAGGCTGGAGGAGGACGAGAAGGTAGGGCGGGGTTGGGAGTTGGGGGTGGCGCGGGGGCGAGCCCGGGGGTGGCTGGGGGGCTGGCAGGAGCGGCTGAGTCGCGGGGGGGTCGGCCCCCAGGCCCTGGAGGCCTGAGGAGTTGAGGTGGCCGGCCGGGCGGAGGTCGCGGCTGTGGGAGGACCGAGAGCGGGGCCTTGCGGCCGGCGTTCTGGTGGGAGCATGTCCTTGGCCTTTGTTTCCCTTGCAGGTCCCCAGAGACTTAGCCGCAGCCTCCGCTCGGGCCAAGCCGTCTGCCCCCAGCTGCCACCCCGGCCCGGTGGCGCCTGCCTCCGCCCTCCCGAATGCTGTGCCTCCTCGCAGGCCTCGGCCCAGGATCCAGGCCCCCTCTGCCCCCTGCCCCGGAGCAGCCGCGCCCCGTGGCCCGGAGGGGAGAACTGTGCGGCCTGGGCTGTGGCTGCGGGAGCCCCGCTGACGGCTGGAATCTCCGCCTCCGACCCAGTGCGCGGCCTTCCTGCGCCCCCTTCGCCGGCCTCTGAGAAGAGACCCCTCTTGCCACCCGGAGCCCAGGAAGCCTCAAGCTGGGGCCCTGGTCCCAGCATGTCAGCCCTCTCCTGTGTATAGGGCTGTGCCCGCTCCCTGTCAGCATGGCTGAGCTCAGGCAGGTTCCGGGCGGGCGGGAGACCCCTCAGGGGGAGCTGCGGCCGGAGCTGGTGGAGGATGAAGTCCCTCGGAGCCCAGTCGCGGAGGAGCCCCGCGGCGATGGGAGTAACAGCAGCGAAGCCAAGTTGTTTCCAGGGGAGGAGGAAGAGCTGGATCCCAGAATACAGGTGAGAGGGCCAGCCTTCCCGAAGAGCTGGCAGATGGGGGCACGGGGGCAGGGAAGGAAAGCAAGCTTGTCAACAAAACAGTGCAACAAGCTGAGAGGAGCTGAAAGGTGAGCTTGTGACGGGAGTGCCCAGAAAGGCCGCCGAATGCCTGGGGTGGTTGCTGAAGCCTCATTGGAGAGGGGGAGGGACATGTCGGAGGCACACTTCCGGTCAGTGTCCAGCAGAGCTGTTCTTTCCAGATAAGCAGCAGGGCCGTGAGCTGAGATTGGTGTGGCGGGGACTGAGATTGAGGCAGTCTCACCTTCTCATCAGTGCCTCCCAGGGATGTCCACTTCTGTAAAGGGTGAGCCCTTTCGTGTGTTACAGAGGTGGCGTCCGGTTTAGGCCTCTGAGGACGTCTGATATGTGTTGGTCGTGGCCAACCCTCAGTGATACAGATGCCCAGCTTAAGGTTGCCATGGCTATCGAGTGAGTAGGGAGCTGATTTGTCCCCATGGAGCCCGTGCAGGCTCTTCGTGGAGGAGGCCTGCAGCCGTGGGGAGGGCAGGGGCGGGCAGCGGTGGGGAGGGCAGGGGCCGGTGGAGGAGATGCTTGGCCGTCCGAGGCTGGATGGCGGTGACTCCAGGCAGCGGTGGGAGGGACTGACTGGGAAAGCTGCTTGGGCAGGGGAGAGTCAGCACGTTTCTGTGTTTGAGGCTGAGTCTGCCCTTCAGTTCATAGCATCTTCCAGGTTCTGGTGTGCTGGTGACTCACGTCTGTGTAGGTGAGCTTCCTGGGCTTCTCTGTCAACAAACCTTCAGTAGTCACTCTGGCGAGTCCACAGGAAATCCGTGCTGGTCCCAGGAGCCTCCCTGCCCTCTGGGTGGGGTTCCCTGGTGGTGTCGCTGCTCACAGTGAAGCAGTGGTGTGTCAGACATTCCTGCTGGTGCACGGGGATTGCACTGAAATCAGCTCAAATTCTGTGGTTAATTTAGGTTTGTCCTCCACTGAGGAAACAAGTTGTAGTGAAAAGCATTTCGCACTGAGGTGCAAGCAGCCTTCCTTCTGACTGATGATTTGTGATTTTCATGCGACTTATGTAACCTCTGCAAGCCTCACATTCTTCATCTGTAAAGTGAAGGCTGCCTGCGCTGACCGAGTCCTGTGAATCTGTTCTTTCACAGAGTCTTTAGTCTGTTGGTGAGTGTGAGTGGTGCTTTGGGAAAGATCCCTGTGCACACTGGGCAGGAAGGCCACGGGATGTGCTGCAGCGTTCCCGGCCCTGCTTCCGAAGAGAATCCAGCAGTTTCTCCTGCAGTCCCTCTGCTCCTGCATTGCCCGGTGTCCCCACAGCCACTCCCATGCTTCATGTCCATTCACATAGCCTGCTTAGATCAGTTATAATGAAGTAAAAATGGAAGGTACAGTTCCTCAGGCGCTATTGGCAGTGCAGAACTAGGACGTTCTGTCAGGGGCAGTTCCATTGGACGGGACAGATGTGATGGTTTGAGGACACTGGGCACGTGTGATACCCCCTGGTCTCCCGTGGGCCCACCGTGACTCGCCAAAGCCGGAGTTGCGTTGTGGGTTATGTGAGAAGGAAAAGTCTCCTTGCTCAGGTTGGCCCCAAGCCGGGCCAGTGTCCTGGCCTCATGGGGATTCAGCCCTTGTCGTGTGGGAGGCAGGCTGTTGGGAGGGACGCCTTGGAGCAGCAGCGGCATTCAGCCTGTGGACCGTGGGCTCTTCTGTGTGCAGATGAGAGGGGCGAGTGCCTTTCTGGGGCCCTTCAATGTTGACAGTGCACAGTCTGTTCTCCTTACGGTGTGCGTCAGCGTTACAAATGGATTGTTAGTACTCAGCGGGTCTGTACCACAGATCCATCAGAGGCCTCCAGGGAGCTGTGAGAGCCGCCATCGGAGCTGTGCGCACACACGCGCATCCTCCTGGCCTGTGGGGGTGAGAAGTGGTTCTAACGGGCCCACTGGGCCAGGATATTCGAAGATAGGCAGGGACCCTGTTCTAGTGTTTTCTGGGTCTTTGGGTGAGGCTCTTTGCGATGTCGGGACTGGGGTTTCTTGGCAGGCAGGCAGCATGCCCGTGACCCTGTGGTTGGTGGGATCGCCTGGGAGTTGGACGGAAGCCAGCTTCAGGCCTGCAGGAAGTATGCTGTTCTCCTGGGAAGGCCGCTGTCCGTATCCGTGTCTTGACCTCAGTGTAGTTCTCCAAACTGGTCTCCTCCGGGCCTGGTCTCCTCCCTGGTGACTTTCTTAGCCTCTTTGTTGGGCACATCTTTCCTGGGGCGAGTGGATACATTCACTCAGACTCTCGGGTGACTTTGCAGCCACTGCCTCTTCATCTGAAATGTGGTTTGGCTTGCAGACAGCTTTAATTCCCTTATTTCTGAGACCTGGGCCGTGCATCACCCTGGCCCCACCCGTTGATCTGGCTTAGTATTTTAATAGCCGGCACAGGCGGACAGGCATGTTGGCAGCCTGAGCAGTCAGGCCTCTGCCACAGTGGCCTGGCATCCTGGGAATGCACTGTGTCCAGGAAGGTCACCCTGCCTTCTGGCTGCAGGCTCACTGATGGGCAGTGTTCGCTGACTCAGACCTCATCTTCCTGGAGTTCTGTGTCAGCAGCCTCCAGGAGGCCCCAGTGGGGCAGGCCACATGGAAAGTGTTGCCAGCTGTCCCCACTGCTCCGTGTTCCTCAGCTTCCATTCCGGCCTGGCTGCCCCACCTGCTTGCCCACCCTGCCCTCCAGCCTGTTAGGAAGAGCTTTGTGATGAGAGGCAGACCTCATCCTACAGAAGACTTAATTGCTGGAGCTGCTGTGCTGATGCAGATTCCTACCTTTTAATCTCGCCAATACCAAACCCTGCCTGTCCCTTTTCCAATGGGTATGACTTCCATAGAACCCTCTACTCTGATCACCTTGTCTGGCTGGGAGCACTGTGGGCTGTGAACCGAGTAGCAGGCAGTCTGGCTCTTGGGTTGCCCACGGGAGCAATGCAGGTGGCCTGACTCTCCTTCCCCCAAATCAGCACTTGCTGCTCTCCTGAGGCCTGTCCTTTGCCCACCAGGGCCGTGGCTTTCTAAGGTGCTGCTGTTCCTGTCTCCTCTGAGGTTCCCGTCCAGGCACATCCTTAGTGTGAGGGTCGTAACAGTAGCGGGACAGCCAGATCACAGGGTGGGTCCAGGATGCGGCCCCAGCTCTGTCATTTACGGCCAGATGCACATCTCACTGTTTCCTCTTTTTCTTTTCTTTTTGTTAGTCCTCACTTGAGTATATTTTCTTCCCCATTGATTTTTTTTTTAAACCATTGATTCTTTTCTCTTTTTTAAAAAATATATTTTATTGATTTTGTACAGAGAGGAAGGGAGAGAGATAGAGAGCTATAAACGTCGATGAGAGAGAGTCATCGATCAGCTGCCTCTTGCCTACTGGGGATATGCCTGCAACCAAGGTACATGCCCTTGACCGGAATCGAACCCTGGACCCTTCAGTCCCCAAGCCAAACACTCTATCCATTAAGCCAAACCGGTCTCGGCTCCCCATTGATTTTTAGAGAGAGTTGAAGCAGGGGGGAGAGAGAGAGGCAGACAGACAGACAGATATGAGAGAGCCATATTGATTGGTTGCCTCCTGCACATGCCCCATCTGCCCTGACTAGGGACCAGGAATGGAACCTGCAACCCAGTTATGTGCCCTTGACTGGGAATTAAACCCGTGAACCTTGGGTACAAGAGCCGAGGTTCAAACCATTGAGCAACATTGGCCAGGGCCCCACCTCATTGTTCTTGTCTCAGAGCCTGAAGCCATCGTGGGTTGGGTCACACACAGGAGCTGGGCCCATGGGAGAGGTGGCCTCTCATCCTGCAGGAATGACCTCTTCTGAGGTACGTTGGGGTGCTCCCTTTTGCAGGTGAAGTCCTTGTTGGGAAGGCAGTGAAACACAACTGTGTGCTTCCTTCGGCTCCCTGGGTCCCTGAGTCGGCTGTCTGTGGTTCCAGACTGTCTTGTCTTATGGACACTGGGTTGTGACTAACCAGGTGGCCCATGTGCACCAGTTTCTAGACCCACACTGCCCAGTACGGGGGCCAAGTGCTACTGGCCAGGCCGAGATGTGCCTGAGGATTGAATGAATGTGAGTATTTCACAGGCATCGTCCAAAGTCTAAAAGTGTTGTAAATACTTTATGTTGATAACATAATTGAAATTATAAAAGTTACAGTTTCATCTGTCCAGTTTTGCTTTTTCTAAAATGTGGCTCCTAGATATGTGAGACACACATTTGCTTCTGTTGGACAGCTTTGTTCAGTCCAGTTCAGAGTCAGGTTTCAGGCCCTCTTAGAGGCAGGGAAACTGCTTTAATATCTTTGTTCTTGGTTCTGTGTGTCTTCCTTTACTGTAATACGGCATGTAACTTGGTTTCCTGGGTTCTTACTTGCAGACTCAGATCTCAGGGCGTGAGGAGGTGTGTAGAGATAAAAGGGCCACGGGGATCATACACTGAACTGTCAAAAGGGCTGACTGAGGCGAGTGTGAGGCGGCAGTGGCCTCTGGCCAGGTTAGGCCAGGTCTGGGCACGGGCAGCAGGCAGACGGTGAGTCCAGCTGGCTGCCGCAGGCTCCTGGAGTGAGTCCCTTAGCTGAGTGCAGGCGTCTTCCGGGCACTGCTGCCCCTCAGGAGAGTCCTTGACTTGTTGGGCCGTAGGGACTTGGCCCAGAAAGGGCAGGTGGAAACTGGAGGCAGCGCTCCTCCCTGCTCTCTCTCCCAGGTGGTCCCGGGTCCAGTGTGTCTGGTGACTTCTCCCCGCGGCTCTTCCTTTCTCCCACAGGATCTACTGCGTGGGGACTTGGGGTCACTGTCACTCTGCTCCCAAGCTGGCTCGTGGCCTCTTGAACCCTGTGTTCTTCCCTCTTTGGCCTCATTTGTCCATCAGGCCTTCATAACTGCAGCCTGCATTCCCCTGGCCCCGTCCCTTCCTCCCCAGCCGGATTACTGCAGACTGCTTCCACCACGGTCTGCCTGGGCTCCCCACTCGTTTCTCATGTGGCTCAGGCCTTCCCAACCACAGCCAGCTAGTGCCAGGCTCTGAGCCCCGACCTCCCCTCTGCCCTGACCTCACTGGCTTCTCAATTGAGCATTGCCTCCTGGGCACCTGCCTGTCACTGGTGCTTTCTGTGCATCAATCAAGGCCCAGTCTTGTGACTGGATCAGGTGTTCAGGGCATCCTGCCCCAGCCTCGTGCTGCCTAGATAGGTGACTCTGCTGCCCCACCCCTCCCATGCTCCTCACACCATGGGGGCCTGTTGCTTACTTGCTGGGCCATAAGCTGCCACCTTTCTGAGTCCTGAATTCTTGGGCCTCGTGTGCTAAGCTGGGATAAGTGTGCGGTAAATGTGCTGAGCGAGTGACTCAGGGAGGAGGAGACTCCTGGCTGGGGTTTGAGGAGGAGTTGGTACAGACTGAGAGAGCGCCCAGGCTGCTGCCACTTCCCTGTGTGCATGAGTGTTCATCTCCAAACTTTAAAGTGAGGCTTACTCCCTGACACAGGTAAGTGTGAGATAATAGTAGATTGTGGATTAGGTCTCTGTTAAGGAGGAGCAGTGCCTCCCTGCACTTCTTTCCTCCCCTGGTTTGATGGGTTTTCATCCCAGCATGCACTCCTGCCCACCCAGCCACGGAGGCCCCTCCTTTCCCCTGTCTAACTCTGCCCCTGTCCGCGGCAGGAGGAGCTGGAGCACCTGAACCAGGCCAGTGAGGAGATCAACCAGGTGGAGCTACAGCTGGACGTGAGTACCTGCCCCGGGTGTCTCCACAGTGGCAGGGGAAGGGCGACCCAGGAAACAAGAGGGACTGGGACCCACACACAATTATTCGTTTGCCCACATACCCTGTCCCTTTGCCAGGAGGCCAGAACCACCTATCGGAGGATCCTGCAGGAGTCGGCGAGGAAGCTTAACACTCAGGGCTCCCACTTGGGGAGCTGCATCGAGAAGGCCCGGCCCTACTATGAGGCTCGGCGGCAAGCTAAAGAGGTACAGCCCCTGACCCTCCATCTGGGAGGGCCGTGCACCGATCCTGGCCCAGGCTGCTTCCTCTGTGTATGGTGGGAGACAGGTCACCTTTTCTCTTCCTTCTGGTTCATGCCTCTCTTTTTTTGCTTACCCTCCACTTTTTTACCCTTCTTCCTCCCTTTTCTTTATGCAGATAATGTGGGTTCACTATTAGAAAACTATAATGTAACAGTAAAACAAGAAAAAGAAAACAAAAATTGCTCTAAATCCTACTTGATTTGCTTTGGTCAAGTATGGTGAGATGGCAGAGACAATGGCAGTGTCCAAGAGGCGGGCATGGCATGCAGGGTTACATGAGAAGTACCTGGGTTGGTCAGGAGGCTGAGGGCAGAAGAAAACTTGGCCCACGGCCTTTCTGCTGTTTTTTGTGGTAAGGAATGAGGCTGGGTAGGCAGCTCTGGCTAAACTCAGGGTGGGAGGATGGTGTGAGTATAGGGGAGAGCTCTGTGCTCTGTGCTCTGTGCTCTGTGGTGGGACCTAGTTGTCTGGTACTTGGTCCTGGGTAACTTAGGGCAGAGGCAATATTGGCTGGTATGAATGTGGAAGAGTCAGTTACAGGAGGTGGTGGGTGTTGGGTTGGCTGGTTTGCACGTGAAAGGTGTGCTCACAAGGGAGTTTACTATTCAGGAATTAATTAGCTTTGGGAGGGCTAGTAAGGATCCCGGGATGTCAAAGCATCATAAAATATAGGCAATAAAAAATGCGGTTAACTTTTTGTATACCTTGTGCCAAATGTATTATAAAATACTAGAGGCCTAGTGCATGAATTCATGCACAGGTGGGTCCCTCTGTCTGGCCGGCAACCAGGACCAATCTGGGCTGTCTTGTCCAGTCCTGATCAGGGCTGATTGGGCCACCTTTCCTGGGGGAAAGGATCATGGGCGGTTGACTATGGGAGCACACTGACCACCAGGGGGCAGCTGACCACAGTGCGCATCATAGTAATGGTCGCTTAGGATATATATATATATATATATATATATATATATATATATATATATATATGCTGTCTTTATTTCTTTTACTTACATTATGACATAGTTCCATGTCAATAAATATACATCCATGCCATCATTTTTAAGGGCTGCTGAATATTCCCTATATGAGACACACTGTATTCACTTCACAGTCCCCTGGAACTGAAAACCTAGGTTTGTTTCTAGTGTTTTGTTTGGTCAGCATGACTGTGATGACTGTTTCTCAGCTCTTGTCAGATTATTTCCTTCACCTTCCCTGCTGGGCTGAGTTGATGTGATGGTCTTGGGTGGGCTTTCTTTCTGTGAGACTGATCCACGTCGCTCACTCCCTTGCAACTACCAAGGGTGGACTTCTCTCTGTTCTCTGTAGGGCAGAAGGCCAATGGGCTCTCAAACTGCTGGGTCGGTCTCAGCTCACCCTCCACTGGCAGCATCATGCTTTCCCATCTTCTCTCAGGCCATAGCCTTACAAAACACTCTTTGTAGAATGTTGCATTTATCCTTAGCGCAGTGTGAGAGTGAGGCGTTGCAGTGGGCTGTCCTCCTCTTGTCCGCACCCGGGATATGTCTCCACGGTGGACTGATGGCCTTCTCCCCGCAGGCCCAGCAGGAGACGCAGAAGGCAGCCTTACGATACGAGCGGGCTGTGAGCATGCACAACGCTGCCCGGGAGATGGTGTTTGTGGCTGAGCAGGGCGTCATGGCTGACAAGAACCGGCTGGACCCTACATGGCAGGAGATGCTCAACCACGCCACCTGCAAGGTGAGCCGGGCGGTTCTCGCAGGGCCCCTCCCTCGGTTCCCTTGCTTTCTTTGCTGTCTATCCCATCACCTCCTCACCCCTCTCTCTTCCACTGCAGCCTTCCCTCAGCTTAACTGTTTCAGACAAACCTGTTTCTTGCCCTGCCCTGTTTGGCCTCAGTGCTTTTTATATCCATCTCCTCTGGAAGCAGATTGTTTGGTCCTTTGCCTCCAGGTTTGGCACTAACCCAAACAGTTTATCCCTACTGGATACTCTCGATTCAACCCCCACATTTCATTATGTTTAGCTGTGACCCTTTCTGCTTTCAGAATATTCTTTCTTGCTTTAAGCTCCGCCACTGTACTTTGATATTTAAAATGGAATTTGTGTATCATTTCCAAGCTACTGGAAGGGGACTGAGGAGAGGGAGGTCCGCTGGCATCAGCCACCTTCACCGTGTAAAGAGCAGTGTCTCAGCCACTCAGGCCACTGTAACAAATAACACACACTGAGGCCTGGACAGCAGAATTTCTCCCAGCTCTGGAGTTTGGCAAGTCCAGCATCGAGGCACAGGCAGACCTGGTGTTGGTGAGGGCCCCTTCCAGTTCCTAGTCCGCCCTCTTTCACTGTCCTCACACGGCACAAGGGGCGAGGGAGCTCTCCAGAGCCCTTTGTAAGGGCACCAATCCCACCCAGGATGCTCTCGCCTCGCAGGGCTGCCTCCCAAACCTTCAGGGTAGTGGTGAGGATTCAGCATGTGAACTTTGGGGGGTCACAAACATTTATCTCGAGCAGCAGGTGTGAGCTCCTGAGGGGTGCTCATGCCTCAGGTCCTTTGAGGACGCCGAGGCCAGGCCACCGCCCTGCACAGCCGGAGCTCCCACAGGAGAGTGGCATGCGGAGGGCTGTGGAGCTTTGAGTGACAGGGCATGACAGCCCACTGTGCACCTGCCCAGTGTGGGGCAAGGTTGGCCCTGGCCTTGGTGCACATGCTGAAGGAGCCTTTGCCTACTCCCTTTTGGGGCGTGAGAATGTAGAGAACCCAGTGCAGAGCTTGGCTGCCCTCAATGGGGCTCCTCTGGTCCTCCAGCTCCCACCCCAGCACTGAGGGCTCCCTGTGGACGATGGCTGTAGAAGATGTGCCCGACAGGCATTCTTGGCAGGCTCACAGGTTGTCCTTAGGACTCTGGCACCCTCCCAGCAGCAGCAAACCTGAGTGGCAGTAGTGCAAGCAGCAGTAGGCAGGTGCAAGGACCCACTGCTCTCCTTTGTGTCTCAGGAAATCCCTCTCTCTCCAGACCCCTCAGACAGTGGGGTTCCCCCAGGGTGACATTTGGAGTGCCAGCCTGGGGTGAACGGCAGGGGTCGGAGCATGTCCCCCAGCTTAGTGATGTCTGTCATCTGCACTATATGGGCCAGGTGAACGAGGCAGAGGAGGAACGGCTTCGTGGCGAGCGGGAGCACCAACGGGTAACGCGGCTGTGCCAGCAGGCTGAAGCTCGGGTGCAGGCCCTGCAGAAGACCCTCCGGCGGGCCATTGGCAAGAGCCGCCCCTACTTTGAGCTCAAGGCCCAGTTCAGCCAGATCCTGGAGGTAGCTGCGGGGAGGGGGGAGATGGGAGAGGGTGGGCATGGCAAGTGAGAGCAAGGAGACAGTGTGGGATCAACTAGGTGGGACGGGGTGGTGCCTGGCTCAGAATGACCTCCAGGAAGTGGGAGGTGAGTTGGGGGTGGGTGCTGGCAGGTCTGGAGTTGTAGGGAGATAAACAAAAAGTGAGAATCAGGAGAGGAGGATCGGGTGGGTTTGGGGCAGGATGGGGCTGCCCAGCGGGACCTAAGGGGACTGGGAGCTCCAGGTGTGTAGAGTTGCCAACTGGGTTATGCCCTCTGTCCCTTCCTCCCTCAGGAGCACAAGGCCAAGGTGACAGAGCTGGAGCAGCAGGTTGCTCAGGCCAAGACTCGCTACTCAGTGGCCCTGCGCAACCTGGAGCAGATCAGTGAGCAGATCCACGCGCGCCGCAGGGGCCTGCCCCCTCACCCACCTGGCCCTCGGCGCTCCTCCCCTGTGGGCGCTGAGGCCAGGCCCCAGGAGGAGGAGGAGGACGGAGACAGTGGGATCATTGAGGGGGCTGAGGGCGAGGCCCCAGAAGAGGGCTGCAGCCTGGGGCTTGGTCCTGCTCCTGATGGGGACACAGCGAGCCTGCTGAGCCTGCGCACCGTGGCCTCAGACCTGCAGAAGTGTGACTCCGTGGAACACCTGCGGGGCCTCTCGGACCACGCCAGTCTGGACGGCCAGGAGCTGGGCACCTGGAGCGGGGGCCGTGGGGGCCGCCACCAGCGCAGCATCAGTCTGTAGCCCGGCTTAGGGTCTGGCGTGGCCCTTACCCTGCTAGCTCCGTCCTGGGGCCCTTGCTTCCCCTGGAGGTCGGGTTGGCTGTGTCTGATTCTGTCATTTGTCGTTCTCCCCCCCATCCCCAGAGTTACAGGTGACAGCTCTTTGCCTTACTCCCCAGAAGGCTTACCTCCGGCTCTCACGGTCTGTCCATTCTCTCTGCTGGCCTCTTTCTAACTTCTTTCCTCTGCCTGGCTTTTCCCTCAGGGACTTGGTCTGGGAAGCACAGGGAAGCCCATCACACAAGATGGATGTGGACCTGAATCTAGCATATCGGGCCCCCAGCCTGAGTGAGTGGACAGGTGTTCCTCCCATTTCCCTTCTGATGAGGGGCCAGAGGGGTGTGGAGGAGCCCTCCTGGCAGCTGGCCCCATGCTCTGCCAGCCTGCCTGTGTGTCACCTGGAAGATGCACGGGGGGCTGTGCACCTCAGAGACACATCCCCGTCCCTTCGGCACTCACTCCCTCCTCATGGCCTGAGCCGCTCTGCTCTGGGTGTCCCAGAGCAGGACTCGAGGGTGCTGGTGTCAGGAAGGCGGAACCAACCCTGCTGTCTGCACAGGGGCATTGCCAACTCCACACGGGCCCCCCAGTGCATGCGTTTCCCCAGAAGAGCTGGGCCTGAGCATTGCCAAGGTGCTATGGGCCTCTGATGGGGTCCATGTTGGGAGTAGAGATGTCACGAGGTCCTGATGTGAAGGCCTTTGCCATCCCTGTTGCGGAGTGAGGTTTACTTTTTAGAGGATTTTGAGCTGGATCTCGGCCTATTCCTGCAGGATGGAGTTGGGGAATTTGGTGCTCTTTCCCCAGCAGTGCCATGCCTGCTCCAGGGTCCCGTGGGGAATGCGGAAGTGTGGCTGCCTTCGGTGTGGGGAGGGGACTCCCCTCCACAGGAGCAGCGTTAGGTGTTCAGTGGTGCTGCCAAGCTGAGTGTGCGTGGCGGGGGAGGTGGGGAAGCCTCGCCAGGTTGGGTGCCTTGGGAAGACTGGTCTTTCCTGTCCCACCCTAGGAGGGCTGAGAGCTGGACTGGGTAGCAGGGCTGCACCTGGCCTGTGCGCTCTTGCCATTGACTGGAGCAGTGGGCCTTCACCGGACGGCGTGGTCACAATGAGAACCTCTGGGTTTGAGGTGGCCATGGTGAAGGGAGAAAGGGAAGATGTGGCCGTGTGTGTGCATGAGCTGGTGTGCGTGGGGGGAAGGATCTGCCCTGACTTTATTTAAATAAAATAGTTTATGTAACAGTAATGGTTACTACCCCTGTGTGGAAGGGAGAAGCGGGGGTGTTGAGCAGGATGATGGGGGCCTCTTTCGATGGGATGGTCAGGGAAGCCCCTGGGAGGTGAAGAAGAGTTGGATCTGAGATTTAACCAGGCCAAGAGCGGAGGGAAGGCTGAGAGCAACGTGGCTGGGTAAGTGCACAGGGCGGTTCCCCATCCCACCTGGGTGCAGGTCAGAGGGGGTAGCACCACAGCTGCCTTTTCCAGATGAGACAACAGGTACAGTCACCCCCCCACCCCCCCACACACACACCCATTCCTGGGGTGATTTCCCAGCTACTTTGGGGTCCATAGGAGTGCCACTCCTGGATTGGAGTGAGCATGAAGGAAGGGTTGCAGGATTTAGCAAATACGCAGGTTGCCTAATTAGACTGGATTTCAGATAGTGAGTGCTTTTGCCCCAATGTTTAGGTCATAACGTAGTTATTTGTGGTCTACCTGAAACTGAAAGTTTAACACAAAAGGAGACCCCAAATCAAGGTTTGACTTGTGGTCCAGGCCCTCCTGTGGACCTAGCCTGTGAACATGTGGCACCAGGTGGAGAAGGGCTGAGAACTTCAGGAGCGTGATGCAGACAAAGGCTTTGGGCTGAGTCCAGTCAGGGATGCACCTGTGTTTACATCCAGGTGAAGAGGGGTCAGCCGAAGGGATGAAGAAGGTACTGCTGGGAGGGTTAGAGACCCTGGAAAGCTGGTGAGAAGTGAGATCTAAACACTTTTAAAAAATATATTCATTTTTTACAGAGGAAGGAAGAGGGGGAGAGAGAAACATCAATGAGAGAAACACCGATCAGCTGCCTCTTGCACACTCCCTACTGGGGACGTGCCTGAAACCAAGGTGCATGCCCTTAACCAGAATTGAACCTGGGACCCTTCAGTCCACAGGCTGATGCTTTATCCACTGAGCCAGACTGGTTAGGGCTGAAGTCTAAATACTCAAGGAGCTGGGCCAAGGCCAGGAGCTGGAGGGACAGGGGGGCAGAGTAGTAACTGGTGACCTCAGATGGGACACCAGGAGCCACTGTGTATAGGAATGCACTGGTGCCCTTTGACAGGTACTGTCCAGGGTGAGACTGCCTTTTCTGACCTGGCTTGTTTTTATTTTTTTATTTTATTATTTTTAAAATATATTTTTTAAATTGATTTTTTAGAGAGAGGAAAGGAGCGATAGAGAGTTAGAAACATAAATGAGAATCATCGACCAGCTGCCTCCTGCACACCCCCCACTGGGGATGAGTCTGCAACCAAGGTACATGCCCTTGACGAATCAAACCTGGGACCCTTCAATCCGCAGGCCGACGCTCTATCCACTGAGCCAAACCGGTTTTGGCTTGGCTTGTTTTTATTGAGAAGTAAAGTATAAGGCAGATGGGTGCCACGCTGTTTCCTTTGTCACTAGAAAAGCTGCTGTGAGTGTATGGCCTCTGTCCTTGGGCAGGTGAGCTTTCTGAGATGACACCAGGTCATCTTCCCCTCCCCAGCCCCTGGCAGTGTGGACCTATAAGTCTCATCTGGTGTGAAGGAGCCCGGGGAAGGGCTGGCTGGGCCCACCCCGTTCCTTGCAGAATCACCCATCAGGTAAGGTAGGAGTGAGGAGAGACCAGGAGGGTTAAAGTTGACAATGCTTCCTCCAGGGAATAAAACGGCCACAGCCTGGTCCTGACAACAGTGGCAGCACCACCAGGCATGTCTGTGAGGCATATGCATTGACCCACTTTCCTCCCACGGGGGGGAGGGGGTGTAGAACCAAGCTGCCTTTTCCCAGATGAGACAACAGGTGCAGGGGAAGTGCCCCCTCTGCTCCAGCTTCATGGAAGGAAATGGAGGGAGTTGGGATTTTTTTTTTTTTAATCCTCACACGAGGCTGTGTTTTTATTGATTTGAGAGAGAGAGGGAAGAAGAAAGAAACATCAAAGTGAGAGAAAAACATAAATTGGTTGCCTCCTGTATGTGCTCTGACCAGAGATCGAACCTGCAACCCAGGTACTAGTGTGTGCTGTGACCAGGAATTGAATCTGCAACCTTTTGGTTTAAGGGACGATGCTCCAACAACTGAGCCACCTGTCCAGGACGGCAGCTGGATTCTTAAAGAGTCCAAACTCATGGGAACCAGAGTGACAGTAGAGGCAGTGGGTGTAGTCACTTCTCAGGAAGTTTTATGAAGTATCAGCATGGTCAAAGGGATTTTGTTAAAAGTTTTGTGAGCAAGAGATGGCCAGGTTGTGGGGAATGTGGGCCTCGTCCCTCCCCATACCTGTACCATGTCACATGAAACAGTGAGTGGTAGCACGTTGTTTTTCTGCTGAACCATGGCCTCAAGTGAGCAGCTGGGCCTCGGCTTCCCAGCGCCCAGCACACACCTGGTGCCTAATGGGCCCTCAAGTGGCCGTGCTTTTTTGTTTCCTACACGCCCCCAGTCTGATGTACACCAGATCACTCGGTTAGAGGGTGAGTTCTATATCCTCGTCCATTGGGGGCGGTGGGGTGGTTCTCCTGCGTCTCTGTTCTTTATCAATTGCACATGGAGAAGGGCAGGTGGATCAGCCTGGTGCAGATCAGTGGATGCCAGTCACTCCGTGTCAACAATGAACCTGCGCAGGGGGGGCTGGTCCCATCGAGTGCCGAACAAGGAGGCTCTTTATAAGTCCCCACTAAGGTTGGTCTCCCTCAAGGTGTGATTGGAGAGGGATGGGCTCCCAGGATGTCACCCTGTGCTGTCAGCAGGGGACAGCAGAAGCACATGTTCACATCTGTCTTCCATTCAGGAGTTTTGGTGGGCATCTGGGCACCTGGGTGAGTGCTGGGCCAATGTGGTGGGCACACCACTTGAGCCCCATCTGTCCCCACTCCTCGGGCCTCCTGCACTCCCGCCTCTCTGAGCTGGTGTGAGAGTGAGCTGGCCCAGATCTGCAGAATGGCTTGCCATTTGGGACCAGATGTTCTGTGCCTGTTGAGCCCTGTCTTCTTGCTCCGCCCACATTTCTTTCCTCCCTAGGCCCTGTCCCTGTTCATTCCTTAACTTCTCTCCACATTCCATGCCTGAGTAATCATATCTCCACCCCTTCCCCCAACCCACTGGCCATCCTGAGACCGATGGAAACAGGAACAATCCACTGGCTGGCAAATGGATGTGTGCACGTTGTTTTGTTTTTTTTTGTTATCCTCAACAGAGGATATTGTTTTCATTAATTTTTAGAAAGGGAGGGAGGGGTAGGTGAGAGAGAGAGGCACAGAAACATGATGTGAGAGAGAGACATTGGTTGGTTGCCTCCCGCATGCACTCCCACCGGGACTGGGGGTAGAACCTGCAACCCAGGTACCTGCCCTTGACCGGGAATTGAACCTGTGACCCTTTGGTGAGTGGGCTGATGCTCTAACCACTGAATATACCCTCCAGGGCTGAATGGTTCAGTTCATTAAGCAGTATTTGCCAGGATCTTTCTGAGAACAAACACTGGTAGGACTTGTTAGAAACACCGTGAAGTGGCTGGGTGCCCAGATGAACACAGGTGCATGCTGGTAACAGGTGATGCAGGGCAGTAACCACATGACTAGAGAGGGCTGCAGTCAAGCAGGGATCTGGGAGATGAGGAAAGGGGGCGCTTTGAGGGGGGCACTCGTTGCTTTGAAGCTCTGACCCAGCCACGGCGCGAGCTGGACAGGAGCTGGCAGGAGGGCCCCGCCTTCAG